ACGATATGTAAATAGATATGTGTAATTGCGCGTATAAGATAGAATGGAAGCTTAGTATCTTAAAAGAGACACTTCATCAAATAGATTTCCAAAAAGAATTCTTAGAAAAGAAATAAAATTCTTAGAATCGAAATATAATACATTTTATTGCAATTCTTCTGATAAAAATTATGAAGTAATTTTAAAATATTATTCTAACACCTTCTTTTTCTTTGAAGAAATGTAACCATCCATCATTTTCTATTCTAATATATATACATATATATGAACAATCCTATATCGATTGAAATTTAAAATAAATCACAATATCGAGATTTCCATTGAAAAATTTTCCACAAAATCACCTTGATCCACGTTCAATTCAATTACCGGAGAAAAATGATCGCAAAATATTTTTCATAGGATCGACATTAGTAAGCGACGATCGAGCACCGGGCAAGGTGATGATTCATGGAAACGCAGCGAATAAATTAATGAGCCATCGAGATGCGATCGTTAGTAAAATACGCGTTTTCCGTAGTCGCGATGAATGTGAACAGTCTCGAAGCTCATTCGTGAATTAATCTCGCAGGCTATAAATGTTTGTACTGTAGACTGAGAAATATAAGCGTAAGTTAAGCGATATTTATTAGACGCTTTATCATGGAGATAGCTTTCTTTTTCTAATCGAAATTACGTGTGGAATACGAAAGAGTGTGGATACAAAATGTGCTCGAAACAATTATAGATATCGATGTGATTCCTTTGTTTTAAATCAAACAATAAAAGCAGAAATCGATTATTTAAAATTCAAATATTTTTAGGGATAAATTTCGGGAAAGATATCGAACGCTTTTTTTAAACTTAATTAATATTAAAATTTATTATATAGGATAGGTTGTAATTAAAAAGAATATAGAGAAAAAAAGTTTGTATCATTGGAGAAATATTTGATAAATTCCATTTTCCATGATCTCTTTTATTTATTAAAGTACTAATTATGCAGAATAGAAAAATGGTAATAATCTAAATTGTAAAAATTGATAATTATTATATCTCGTTCTCATTTAAGAAATTTTATATCTACGTAATTTTAAATTTTTAAATATCGTCTACTTTAAAAGGAAAATCTTATTAATATCTGCAGTAGTTTTAAGGAAAAATATATAAGTCAGCCTCGATTAACGAACAAGGGGTAAAATTTGAAAGAAAAATAAACGATTGCGATTTACATATAGGATTAATAATTTTCAATCGATGAAATTAATTTCAATGGCACGAATATCACGAGGGTTCGAGAAACATTATCATTCCCCGGAACATTTTATTCCTCAGACTCGTTTTACGATCGGCATATTACTCTTGTAATTAATTCCACGAGTTTTTTAATTAATAACCGTGTAAAAATCGTGATATCAATTTCTAATTTAATTATAGATACATCGACTATAAAATCGAATAACAGGATAGCCGGAATGTTAATGTTAACGAATTTCAATAATGAAAATTACAGGCGTATTACACCGGAAAGATTGAATTCAATAAACCAAAGAATTCTTGGAATAATTATTGTTTGATCAAATTTTTCTTTATGCAATGAAATTCTCTTTTATCCAAACAAGCTTATTCTTAATTTATGAAAATTTTTATCCTTATGTCCATACTTAAAATTTTAACATCATTCAACTATTGATTACAATAACTCTTCATTAATGAAGTTGTAATTTTAAAATCTAACGCAATAGTAGATCTAAATTGTATTGGTGAGTCGATACAAAATTCCAAGTTCAATCTTGAATTAAAAAGAATTTTAATTCAACGTTTCTTCTTGACAAAATGTAAATATCCTATTACTCGAATTATTAATCCTTTATTCTAACATTTATTCTTCCATTTTTTTTTCCACAATTTCAAAAGCAATCTACCTCAAACATTCTAATCTCGAACCTACCTTTTTTTCTCAAAAAAAAAAAAGTCTAATCGCATTAATTTTACATAAATATTACAAACAAGATAATCAAAATACATTCGTACAAGAGTGCGGAACGGATAACTTATCTCGAAGAAAAGAAAAGAAGAAGAAAAAGAAGAAGAAGAAGAAGAAAGAAAGGAAACGCACAGTTGAAAAAAAACATTGTAAAAAAAGAACCGTGGGTCTTGATATTTAAAAGCGGTCTCGATTTCACCGCGAGAGAGCCACGTGGGCGATTGATCGATCCTCGGATCGAGGGGATCTATTCGTTACGTGGCCTGGCACGCGAAAGGCCACCGTCGTATAAATTGTTAATTATACGGAACCGTGCGGCTTGTAAAGATCGCGTGGGAGCATTTCGTGGCTGGACCGGTTTTCGGCCCGAATGGTAATTAATTTTCACACCCCGTTTCTAATTGAAAAGGATCGTGGCGGCCGCCTAGGAGAGACGGTGCGTTTGTTTGCTCGCCACCGTAACACCCAGTGGCCGTTAATTGAAAAACGGGTGATCGCGTTTTAAAAAAATCCTCCCAGCAAAAAACGTTCGCCCTCCCCCTCCTTGCCCCTTTCCCCCTCCCTCTCGTTTTGGCATTATCGGCCTCGCCTTTTGTTGATTTATCGCTTTAACGGCCAATCCTGAACGACTTAACGACCTAACCGCTTGTTAATAAACCGTTCGATTTGTGGGCCTTTGTTAACAGCCGTAAATTTTCCAATGGGATCGTATTAAGAACACTCGAAGGGTTAATTGTCGGTATAAATGGCGCTGTTGGGGTGTTTAAGGGTTACTTATTAGTAGCGAGATTATTAGTAGCGGGGTTTGAACGATTGTTTGAGCTGATTATTTATATACGTCGAAAATTTAATCGTTTCGACTACTGTTTACTGTTACAATTATTGATTCCAGGTATACATAATGTGCGTCTTACGTAGATTAATTTCTGTTTTCGTACGATTTTTAGGAAGATATAAGCGTAACAATTCTACTTTTGATTTAATTTAATTTAATTGAATTTTCAGCTATCATCAATCTATGATACCATCTATGAAGATAAACGATAATATTTCTTTCAATTTAAATATCTCTATATTAATGGATAAGAGGATAAATGTTTTTCAATGTCGGTAATAAAAGAATAGTATGGAAAACAAGCATTTGAAGAATCGATCTTACGCCATACGCCATAGCCGCCAACCCTTCCACGAGGGGTCCATTACGTAAAAGTCCATACTTCTCTCCCCTCCCCCCTCTTTTTTCCTCTCGTATCCCCGAGATATTCTTGCAAAGGTACACGAGGGGGCCATCAATATTATCGAAAGAGCCGTGTGGGTATCATTAATCGGTTGGAGGGAAGAAAAATAAGAAGAGAGATGGCGGTAGAAAGGGGAGGTAGAGGCGTCTTCCTCCCCTCCTCTTCCTCCTCCTCCTCCTCCTCCTCCTTCTCCCCCCGATTACGCGGCCATTCGAAATTTTCGAGGCTCTTCCGACAAGCGGCGGGAATCACCTTGAAAATTGATGTTGACCGGCCACGCGATCTCCCCGGGCCACTCGAGAGCTTCTGCTCTCGATATTTCTCGCCATCCCCCTTTTCCGACACTCGAACGCCGCGTGAACGTATTTATTATACGGCCGCCCGTGACCCCCGCACCATACTTTATCGGTTACGGCCTCGTAAATAGGATGTTTTGTCGAGATTCATCTCCCTTTATCCTCGTTACTCCTCGCGATGACTTAATACCTCCTCCTCCTCCTCTTCCTCCTCTTCCTCCTCCCCCTCTTTCGGACGATTGATTAAGCGTGTCGTCGAGGATGATGATCGTTGAGATCGTTGAAATTTCAACGCCTCCTCTTTTTCGAAATTAATTTTATACAATATTGTATTCTTTTTTTTTAATCAATGCTCCAAGGATAGGAGATCTGTGTTCGTGGAGCGATGACAAATGTTTTCTTTTTTAATATTTTTTTCTTGTGAAAATGATTTAAAATAAATTTTAAATCAACTCTGAAGCCGTTCCATTTTTGGATAGCTGTGTCGTGGTTCGATCTTAATGATTCATGATATTATTTATAATTTATAGTATGCAAATTATTTTTTAGAAAGATACGTTTAAAATTAATGTCGGTTTTTTGGTTTAATCGATCTTTCTTAAACAAAAATTAATTTACAAAGTTAAATTGTTTCGAGTCAATGATGTTTCATTTACATAAAATATTACGTTTGTTCACGTGTCAATTGAATTTACGCACTGTTTATATGCAAAAACAGTGAGAACAGTGTCTATCTACGAATATCAATATTTTGGTTTATGATTTTGAATCATTCTCGTGATGGATATATATATAATGTATACGTGTAATGTTACGTTAATTCTCGTTGTATTTTCCGTATAGAAGTAAGCAAGTAAGTAAGTTATGCTCTAGTTATTTTAGAGCTACTGTGTCAAATTGGATTACTTGTGTCGTCCGTGGGGAATAAATAGAGTTCCTTACTGTTCAAACGTAAAACTGTTAGAGGCTTTAACGTGTAAGCCGTATTGCTAGGAATTTGATTGGCTAGAGGCGTACTGGACATGCAAAGAGACACAGCGATACTTATCCCTTATAGAAAGCTCTCTATTGTGACTTCACATATTGTCGAACGTTCTAAATTGAACAAAAATATGTGTTTTCCATACACCCAATATTCAAAATACTTTTTCTTCCATGATTTTCCAATTTTTCGAGTCTTATTTGCTTTAAATTTATTTACATTCCTTTTTTCGTCCACAGATTTTTTCAGAGATTCCTCACAATTTCAGAGATTCTTCACAACTTTGTCTTTTATAAATTTTTACAAATAAAATTACCATTAAAAATTCACAAGTATTAAACTGATCGCGATGATTAACGATCACATTGCGCAACGCCAGGTTACGTTAATTCAAACTTTGAATCTCAAAGTACGTACTTACGTACATCCTTCTAGAGAGAAGAGTTTAGCCATAGTTTCATCATCGACCCATGCAACTCGCATTCCTGTTCATTATCTAATTTGCTAATCTCTTGCAGACTCACGTGCCCCGAGCCCTATTTCGTCAGCGAGGGTCTCTACACCGCTCTCGAGGAATTGGAGAACACACGTGAGATCTTTCTACACGTGATGACCATTGGCAGTTTCATCGAGGATCCAGCGAAGGTAGGCGCACCGTTATGCATAAAATTCTCGTTCCCTTCGATCGGCCGAAAATCGCGAACAACGACGAATCCGTTCCATTATTTATATTATTTTCATCCACGAATGATATCAAAATCCTTAGGAATGATAAATCGATAAATTATGGTCAATCATAAAATTTTTTATTCCTATTATCTTATAATGAAATTCACTTAAATTCTGATTTTCGTATTCACATACAAAAGCGTAACAATTTATACGTACAACGATTTCTTTTTTTGGTAGAAAATCCCTTGAAATCAATCCTTAAATATTTTTTATTAAAACCTGACCATTGTATAATTGAAAATTATATTTTTGAAGACGCAACTTCGAACTCTATGACTGACTATAGAATACTTTATCACGAATTTTCTTTCTGTATTAAAGCAATTATCCCAATATTTTATTTTAGATTAATCGACGTTATTCTATCTTTAGCAATCTTTATCCCCGTATGGTAGACAAAGCAATCGAAGAACCTGAGATAGAAAGAATGAAAAAAAAAAAAAAAATAAAAAAATAAAAAACTTCTCGAGCGTGCAGGTTCTCGCGTTCCTTTGAAAAATGAAAGAGGAGAGCCTTCCCCTCCTCCCCTTCCCCCTCGTGTCCGATTCTCTTTCCGGAGGTCGGTGGCGCGCGGCGCAATAAGAAACAGATACTCGAATAAATAAAAACACGGCTAATTGCAAGCCGTGCGGCGGATGCCGGTTCATCCGTCGACCCTTCGTTATCTGACGTGAGCACCGATTAAAATTACCACCGTGCAGAGAACCGTACGTCGGTCTCGCGCCCTATCTCCGCTCTCTCCTCCGGGTCGCTAATTAAATGCAACGGCTAATTAGATAACTGATAAAAGGTTATGGCGATCCGCGAGAGCCGCACGATGTACTTTTGGCCCCACTTACGTTCTCTCTAGCGAGAATCCCGACCCTCTTTTTCCTCGGTGTTTTTTTTTTTTTTTTTTTTTTTTTTTATTTTTACTTTTTTCACTGTACAGGGTGTTAATATATTCGTGGAACACGAGTCGATTCTGAAATAAAATGTTGTTTGTTTCACGTAATTTTTGTTTTATCTTTGTCACTTTGCTTGTCGCTTCATTTTTTTCTTCTTTTTTTTTTTCTTCTTTTTTTTTTTTTCATTCCTCAAATGAAACGTTTGTCTCTTTTTGTCTTCGGAATCGAAGATTCTTCGAAAGTGTTTTTCATATCAACACGTGTTAATTTCTCGTGTTTCATTTTAGATTATTTTATATTTTGGATAATTGTTTTTTCTTTCTCGTTTTTTTTTTCATTTTATATTATCTTGTGTTTTTATTTCTTTCTATCTCTTGTACTTGATCAAAGTTATTTATTTCTTATCTTCGCTAGTCTTTGTTCTGCCGTTTCTTACTCCTCTTTTTCTCACTTTTTCCACTTCTTTTTCTTTTTCTTTTTTCTTCTTCTTATCGTTTTGAGCTCTCGTGCTTCCTCCATCGTGCTTCATTCTTGTAGTTTCTTTCCCGTGAATTTAAGTTTTTTGCTTTTGTTTCGTTCCTTTCCCTCTACATCGTTCGTTTCTTGCCACGCTTTCGCTTCCTTCTTTCTTTCCCATGTATCTTCGTATCTCTTTCGATCCTTTCTTTTTTTTTTTCAGATTCTCTCAGGACTTCTTTCCATGTTTTTGCCCCTTTTATCTGGAATTCCTGGCACTTCTCCGCTTCTTCGTTTCTCTCTCCCTCTCTCCTCTCTCTCTCTCTCTCTTTCCCGTTTATTTCGCGGTCTCGTATCTTTGGCTTTAATATTTCTTCACTCGCTACTTTGTATTCGCGAAGGATCGTTTTATATCTTTAATTGACCACTTCTCTTCTCCTTCGCTTTTTTTTTTTTAACCTTCTTCTTTTTAAACCGTCTTCTTGGAAACAGGTATGAAATCTATCCAATTACTTCTGCCTCTTTCTCTCTCTTTGATTCCGTTACTTTTGCTATTTCTTTGCTTCTGTATTCTTTTATTGTCTTCCCACTTTTATATGATTGACATTTTTTTTGGTAAAATTCTTTTTTACATTTTCTTCATTCTTCCAATGATATGTCATCTTTCGTTTATTATTTCTTTTCCCCATTTCATTCTTTAATTCTTCACTTTTCCAATTCTCCATTATTTTTTTTTTTTCTTCTTCTTTTTCACTACTATCATCCACCACTTGTTCTAACCATCAATTGACCACTTCTCTTCTCCTTCGCTTTTTTTTTTTAACCTTCTTCTTTTTAAACCGTCTTCTTGGAAACAGGTATGAAATCTATCCAATTACTTCTGCCTCTCTCTCTCTCTTTGATTCCGTTACTTTTGCTATTTCTTTGCTTCTGTATTCTTTTATTGTCTTCCCACTTTTATATGATTGACATTTTTTTTGGTAAAATTCTTTTTTTACATTTTCTTCATTCTTCCAATGATATGTCATCTTTCGTTTATTATTTCTTTTCCCCGTTTCATTCTTTAATTCTTCACTTTTCCAATTCTCCATTATTTTTTTTTTTTCTTCTTCTTCTTCACCACTATCATCCACCACTTGTTCTAACCATCTTTCCACTGTTATCCCCACTGTCATATTTCACACTTATTCACTCCTCCTCCGCCTTCTTCTTTCTCCTCCCCATTCCACCCCTCCCCTTTCTTTCACTTCTTTCCTTGAACGAGCTACTCGCATTCATTCCGCTTCGAAATACGAAACTCGTCTCGAATTCCAGCGTCGATGAGGTATCCGCGACCTTGAGGCTTTAGAGGCTTCGCTTTGGATAGCTGCGTAGGAAGGACAGCTTAAGTGGAAATCTAATTAATGCGTTTTTACCTGGAACGAAGTACTACATGGGGCAACGTTCCGGGAACTCGGCCGGTCTTTGCGCTCTAGGTGGCAGAACGTAGTCACGTTATCGTTAATCTCGCGCCATATAACAAGGGCTGACGGGGCAACGATCCTTACCTCGCGATGGCTCCCTGGCAAACATTCGATGACACGTGTTCCTGCCCAGTAATCGTGTTATTCTCGAGATCGATCGCTGGCAATTTGTGCCCGGCCGATCGATAAGAGTATCGTTTCTTGGATTGTTCGAAGTCGAAAACCATTTCTTTTTTCTTCTTTTTTTTTTTTCTTTTTTCGTTATGTGGATTACCAACGTATGAAATTGGAGATCATCGTGATCTCGAAAGTTGCTTGAATTTTGCTGATTATCGTAATTTTATTGTTGTTTGTTGCAAGTTTTTATCATAGACTTTTATTTGCAATTTTGTATTTGGATTTTTCAATTTTTTGATTCACACACAGATACAAAGGTCTTCTGAATTATAAGTTAAAAGACGAGAAGTTAATTTTGGAAGTAATTTTTTTAAAAGTGACTTGTGTTAGCAGTCAATAGAGTCGAGTAAATTTTTAAATAAATGAGAAATAAATGTTTTCGATTCAAAATGATTTATTAAAAGCATGCTGGTATTTTTAAGTTGTTTGGGTACATCTTGAGATACGAAATATTTTGTATACTGACTGTAACGATCCATCTTTCATTATCCATTATTCACTTGGTCTGAATAAATGATAAAGAATAAATTGTTGGTAATAAATCATAAATAATTTTGATACGTATAATGTTATCTCGGTCACTTTAACAGAAAGATTTCTGATTTATCGATGCGAATTCAAATCATTTACGAGTATGATGAAATGAATGTGTTTATATCTTTATTGATATAGCAAGATCGAACTTTCATTGTGTAAAGGTTTCACTGTTTGAATGTTATCTTAATATTTTAATATTCAAATGTTTTGTTATTATTGGATATTGGATATAATATTTTGATTCAATTGAAAAATTTAAAAATTAAATATTATAACAGGATAAATCACAAATTCCTCCTTGCGAATAACTTAACAATAATGTATTGTATCCATTAGTTATTCTCGATCTTTCTATAAATAAAAATTTGAAAATATCATCATTCATTATAAATACATTTAAATTTAAAATATAATGAACCAAACTTTAATTCTTAAAAAACTTGTTGCGCGCAAAAGATTATCTTTCTATATAATTGAAAAAAAAAAACTCGTTAATTTCAGAGAAAGCGCCTCTTTTTCTTTTTTTTTTTTTAATCTTTTCTATTTCTTATCTATTTAAAATTGAAACAAATGCATTAAAAATAAATTTTTGAACGAATTTTTTAATAAAACGATAAATTACAAATTACAAATTACAATTACAAATTATTCACGTACTGTTATTCATTATATTCAGTTGAGAATCTCTGCTTTTAACCTTTTTACAAACGCACAAGATGAATCGAATTTTTATCAGGCCATGTACATTATAAAGCTTGATACGTAATTGGCATTTATGTGGTCTGTAAATAACACCGGGTTGCACTTCCAATGATTGCGGGAACGGGCTTAAAGATCAGGAATCATCGTTTATGAAGCAATAACGTATCTTTAGAGAAAGAGAAAGAGGAACAGAGTTTCAATAAAATATTGTCTTCAATTTCGTATGAATCGATCTGTCAATCAATATTCGTATTAAAAACTGAAGGCATCCTTTCATGAGTAACGACACAACTGTACCATAAAAACTATCATGCATCGAGAGCGATTACCATTTTGCATTTCGAAATGAATTGACCGAAATAATTTCCTTCGAGACGTGGTGCACGATTGAGTATAAATCTTCAGATCAAAAAGTAATGGTTCAAAACAGTTTAAATTATTATTTTTTTTTTTTTTTTTTTTTTACAGTAAACGATTAATGGTTTTGAATTAAATTGAAATTTCTGCATTGTCAGTAACACTTTTTAATGTACAATATTTCAAAGATTTATTTTACCAGATCCAAATGGGATCGTTAATATGCTGTCTGGATTTTTTAAATGCACACAAAATGTTTAAATTCTTAATAGAATTGTCTACAATTTTTCGATTCTCGTAGAAAATCTATTCAATTATTTTTGTCTACGCTGCA